GCAATGGGTTAGGCGTTGGCTTGCGAACCGCAAGGTCAGGGGTTTGAACCCACCAGCCGCTCCGCGGGAGAAAGACGAGGCTTCCTACTCCGGGAGCGTTAGCATCTCGGAAACCCACAGGGGCAGTTCTGCCCTGGGCTCTGGAGAGGCGCTGAGGCTGGATGGGGGAGAGGACAGCGAGCTCGGGGTGAGGGTGGAGATCCGTCCAGAACGGACGCCCCGCCCACTTCTGACGTCTGCAGATATGATTGGTCAGAGGAGCCGAAGCAGCAAGTGCTCCGTGGAGTCGAAGGTGACCAGCGGGAGGGAGACCCTGCGCCTTCGTTCTGGGGGTGCGGCCACCGTGGAGGAGGTGGTAAGTGAAGGGGAGGAGGGGTCTTCACTGCTGTCATGAGACCCTCCCCCTCTCTGAGGTTCAGTTGCCCTGCCTGCAAGGCGATCCCAAGCTTGGGCTGATGGGAGGTCCGGGTCTTTAATCTGATGGGCTGGGGACCCCGCGGCAGATGCTGAGCTCCGGCTTTGCCCCCCTGCCCCCCAGCCCAGTGAGTTTGAGGAGGAGGCTTCCCGGAGGGTCGATGACCTGCTGGAAAGTTACATGGGCATTCGGGATCCTGAGCTGGGTAAGGGGCCAGGGTAAGCTGGGTGGACCCCAGGGGGGCGGGCAGTCCTTGGGGAGGAGGCAGGGGCCCAGGGGAGGCTGGGACTCAGGGAGCAGCCTCACGCCTGGTCCTCCCCACCCCCCTCTGTCTGCAGCGTCCACCATGGTGGGGACTTCCAAGATGACGGCGAGCGTCCAGGAGTTTGCGCACCATTTAGACTCCGTCTTGGGAGAGTTTGCTTTCCCGGACGAGTTTGTGGTGGAAGTGTGGGCCGCCATCGGCGAGGCCCGGGAAGCCTGTGGCTAGTGTGCCCCGGGGGCGACCGCAGCCCCAGCCCAGAGCCCAGCCCCCAGCCCCAGCCCAGATCTGAGCCCCAGCCCTGCTCCAGGCCCCAGCCCCGTTCTAGAACCCAGGACAATTCAGAGGCTAGGGTCAGCTCCGGGACCCAGCTCAGCTGTGAGGCCAAGTTCAGAGCTGAGGCCAAGCCATGCTCTCGAGCCCAAACCAACTGGGAGAACAGGTCTAGCTTGCAGACCAGGCCCCTTTCTAGAACCCAGGCCAGCTCTGAGACCACCCGTTGCTCCAGAGCCCAAGTCAGCTCTGAATCTAAGCCCATCTCCAGAAGCCAGTCCCGCTCTGAAAGCAAGCCCAGTTGTGCCACCCAGACAAGCTTTAAGACAAAGCGCAGCCCTGAGACCAGCCCAGGTCTGGAAAACCAACCCAGCTCCCAGAGCAAGACCTGCTCGCAAGCTCCACCCGACTCTGGAACTCAGGACAGCTCCTTGGTGCCGCGGAGCGTGGACCCCAGCTCAGGAACCCCAGATGTTCCTGGAACCCTGGTGACCCCCAAGAAGCAGCCGGGCACCAGGATGCAGGGCCGCGCCCAAACACAGCCCTGTTCTGGAACCCAGAGCTACTTGGCAAGCCAGGCCACCTCCAAAGCCCAGGCAGGCTCCGAAACCCAGCCGCCCGCCAGCGCCCACCCACACCCCGGGGTCCAGTCCAGCTCCAGCGATGAGTCCAGCTGGGAGGCTGAGTCCGGCCCTAGAACCCCACCTGGTGTGGCCACCAGATCCAGCTCCAGAACACAGTGGGGCCCCGAGTCCCGCTCTTTGGTCCACACACAACCCAGCTCAGGAATGTGGTCCAGCGCTGGGACCCAGACCCACTTCAAGACCTGGCCTCGCTCCAGAGCCCAGCCC